CAGCTGCATTAATGAGAAAGTTTGAAATAAAAAATGAAAGCTTCAACAAAAAAGTCTGACCCCCTGTATTTATTTTCTGGCCAATGATGTCAGAATTACAGGTATTTTGGAATGGATATGTGAAAGGTGCTTTTGTGGAAAGATAACAAACTGTCCTTGTCTGTGTGTGACACAGCTGGGCAAGATTCTCCCCACTCACACCTGAATTCCCCTGAATTCTGATTAGCAATGCACCTGCATGTCATGACCTCAGCTCATTGAAATCAGCCCTACGCTCCATTCATTGCCTGGCCTTGATGCTAACTAGAAGGACTGCACTCTCCTCACAATCAGAGTCTATATCTTATTCCAAGTTCACTTACCTCTCTTGTTTCCTATGCGTCTCTCCTTCCTAGTGTGGTTTCTCCTGGTCCTTCCTTTGGTTGTCATCATTTCCCCGCATTTGTCTATCTGTGTGCCTGGCTTCCATAACTCCTTCGGTCCCTCCAAGTCATCAGGGGCCTCATGTACAAAGACTTGCGTTGAATTAATACTAAAACATTACGTACGGACAAAGCTGTAAATGTGGATACGCAGTAAAAAGTTCAGATGTACGAAACATTGCATACGCGGAATCTCAAGCATATTCTCTTTGTACATCTGAATTATGTACTTGAAAATGAGTGCACATGCACAATCACAAAACCCCTTTCTGCCTCCTTCCCCATATACATATGGTAATGACTCTACTTTGGCAAAACCAAATGAAAAGCAAGACAAAAGCAAGCAAGAAGAGAAACTTTACAGAATGTGAATTGGAGGTGCTCCTATCGGATGTAGACCGGAGAAAAACTGTGTTATTTGCAGGTTTGTCCTCCGGAATAAATAACAAAAGAAATTAAATACAGTGGGAGTGTTTAGCTCTCGCGGTTAACGCAGTGGGGTCCGAACATAGCACTGTGAGTGAAGTAAAAAAAGAAATGGTCTGATGTAAATGTGCAGGTTAAGAGGAGAACAGCAACGCACTGTCAAAATGTGGACAGGAATAAACGGGGGAACAAGGGATGCTGAGAGTTGCATCAATTGTGGGTGACACTTTACCGTCTGGAGTAGTATCCATATCTGTGGGAGACATAGATGTATTAGAGGAACACCTTGTTAGGGCGGTATTGCAGTGCCCCTCCGCTCTTATCAAGGCAGCGCCACTGGCATTTCAGCTGCCTAATCGCCTGCTCTACAACTGACCAAATGGGAGAATGGGCATCATTGTATCTGCATTCTTGATCAGCTTGTGGATTGTTGAGGGGGGTAACAGCCAGGTCTTTAATGGATAACTGCAGTCTCCTAATATGCAGTTAAATTATTACGCTAAATAAAAAAAATCAAAACTTAGCTAGAATAACATCTTTAAATACATTACTCACCAAGAAGCCACCTATCGCGCACCTTGCCACCTTGAAGTTTTCTTGCTGTCTCTCTTTCCAAATTTGGACCCAACTCAGCACAGAGCTCCAAGAGGATAGCTCTTGGAAATCTGAAACGGCTAATAAGCCAGTCATCATTGAGGGCCAGAAAATCACTGTGATCTCTAATTATGCGTTCCCTTCAGATTCGACTATTGACAATGTTCTCTAATAAGGCCAACACTGCCATTGCCATAGACTAAGGGTTGTATACATTTGCTAGTTGCTCTTATATGTTCAAATGTTTTTTTTTTTTTTTTTTTTGTATTTTATCAATATAAATGAATAGCAATATTTTTCATGTGTTGGTGCGATACTTTGTAGTGTGCAATTTAACATAATTGCCTCTAGGAGTCGCCAATGGAAATAAAAACAAACACAAGAAATACATGTACACCAGATATGAAGTTGGCGCGGACCAACGCACATTCTCACGTTAATTTCATTATTAGTAAATCCAAACGTGAGTGTGAAACTTTGCATAATCAAAGTTTTTGTGTATGCAGCATTGATACATACCCCTGGTCCGTCATATCCATACTGCAAAGCATCCCCATCTGAGTTCTGTTTACACCCTGCCATCCTCTTTAATAATCTGTTGTCATACTCACATCTCCTTCTGTGACAGACTGAAGATTTTTTTAATTTAAAGGAAAAGTCATTACTGTAATTTTTTACATATTTACTGGTATTACTGTGTGTAAGGGGCTAATGGCAGGCTTTTTTGTGGGCGTGGAGGGGTAGAACAAAAGTGCCAGACATGCTACTTGTTCAGTGAAAAATCTGTATCTGTTCTGTCTCAAAACATATCTTCTGAAAAATAATCAAAAATAGATTTACATTTTTAAAAAAGTTCAAGATCTCCAAAGCACGTTTAATGATGCACTCACTTCTTGGTTGGGGCTCTCTTTGTATGAATTACTAATTCATTGCAGTATCAGCACCAACGAGTTTACTCACTTTTATAATTAAAGTAAACGAATCACTTCACCCTTATGCACTGTTCAAAATTACTACCCTTTTGTTATGTTAGGGATGAAAACAACCACTAAATTATGCACTATGAACTAAATTATGCACTCAGTTTTGCATAAACCTGTTAATCAACCTCAGTCCTGATCAAAACTACTAAACTGTTCACAAAATTATAGGATTTTAGTTTGTTAATTGACAAATTCACAAATGATATCACAGATTTGGTGAAAAAAATCACACAAAATGATGTATTTTCAACATAAAGTAGTTGTGGACTGGATTATTTTTCCTTTTATCACAGTCTTGGCAATTAAAGACTTAAAATCCTGTAATTATCTAAACAAATTAGTAGTTTTGATCAGAACTGAGGTTGATTAGCAGATTTATAAAAAAAATCTACTGAATTAATCTAAGCATATTTACTGCAGTTTAATTTTAGTGGATGTTTTCATCCCTAACATAAGAATTGGGATGTAAATGGGTCTTTAAAAAGTGTGTTGTTGAGTTTTTATTTATTTATAGTTTTTCTTCAAAATATATGTCAAAATAAGATTTGTCACCAAATATCATTTCATTTGCTGAAACACAAAAAATGTTATAGCCAAAATAAGACTCAAAATCACTCGAGAGTGGATGAAAACATCCCTAACAGCATATAAGGGTTAAGAAGCAACAGGCTTCATCACTTTTTTTTAATAAAGTCAACTAGGCTAATTGCTTCTTACATTGCATCGTTGGGTCAAATGTTTCTTATCTCCCTCTTAAAGATGTGCTATTGACTTTATTCTGCAATGTGGAAGTAAGCTCCTTACAGTTATTGTTTTAGAACTTCCGATTCATTTGCCAACAGGGGAAATTACTATAGGAATAACTAACAGCAGTAAACAGTCAAACTACATACTCAATAGACAATTGTGGTTATGACAGTACGTGAGAATAAAAATAACTTAAGAAAATACAAGTTTGCAACATCAAACCACATAACAAGCTTTTTTTTCAGCTAAAAATTTACGAAAGAGGATGAGACAATAATCTTGAGCCAATAAGGTTTCAATGGCTGTGAATGCTCGTACTTGAAAGAATGAGGTTAATAGAGTTTAGGTCAGGAGCGTTGGCTGTCCAATCAAGCACATGCAGTAAAATCATGATCAGCTAAGCAGTTCAGAAGTACTTTTGTCACAATATGCAGGGGCAAAAGAAAATTGACATCTCCAAAAATATTAATAATAAAAAAAATAACTTGTAACATAAAAAAGAAAATCTCTAACATAAATCTCTACATCTCCTGGTAGATAATACATGGACTCTGATCTTGATAAAGGACAGAGAACCAACATCAGCAGATGACACAGACCCTCCAAATAATCATAAGCCCCTTTCACACATACAGACCTTTCCGGAAAATTACCGGCAATTTTCCGGAAAGGTCTGTATGTGTGAACTGGTCCTTTTTGAAAATACCGGTAAATTCGTTCTGGCTATTTTCCGGAAAGAGAAGTTGTAACATTACCGGTAATTTGCCAGAATGCTGTGTGAATGCAGAAGGAAGATTGCCAGAAAGAGCGCGTACACGTCTAGAACGTGCTGACGTGAGACGTCTGCTTTAACCAATCAGAACAGTCAGACGCATTTACGTGTGCGCAGTTTATGAGAATAAAAGCCTTTGAATATTTTTCTAGACACATTTAGCTGCTATATGTTAGTCAGATAACGTTTCTATGTTCCTTCTTCATGCCAACTGTGTAAATAATTATCGATAAAATGTTTATGATAATCCGTTGTTTGTTTACCTTCAAGCTTTGCGTGTGCCTGTGAGCGCCCATAGCGCCAGCACACACACATATCATGTACATCTCGACATGCGAAAGTGTTTCTCTATGTTTTCATTGGAGTTGTACTCAATACTGATCCATCCGAAGAGTTTGTAATTTAGTCAAACGTTTACAAACACAAGCGCAGCCGTTTAGAGGTCATTTCTGGTTAATGATGTCAGAATTTACCGGCATTTTGCGATGGATGTGTGAATGCTCTTTTCCGGAAAAATTCCGTAACGTCCTCGCCTGTGTGAACATCGCTTTTTTGAATTTACCGGTAAAGTCGTTCTGGAAATTTTCTGGTTATTTACCGGTATAACTGTGTGAAAGGGGCTATAGACTCTGAAAACACTTTACATTTACTTCAAGAGATGTGGATTCGTTAACTTTCCAGCTCTTTTTTATTTATGACATACATGGCTCACCGTCTTTGTAAAGGGTGTTGATGATCGTTTTCATGATAGCAGTATCCCTAGTTACCTTCATGTTTTGGACTAGCCCAGGAGGAACCTAGCATTAAAAAAACAAAGAAATAAAAACTAACTAATTAAGCTCTTAATTTAACAATATTGATTTTTTTTCATTTTCATTGAATTTCATACAGGCTATTAAAAGTCATAAACATCCGAATAAAAGCAAACATATACCAAAAAACTCGAAATGTTAGCTCTGGAAATATGCCTGCTTCATGACCCTTCGGTTTCACACTGCGCTGCATCCTCGCGCGTCCTTGTAGAGCTCGGTTACTATGGTGATCACAAGAAGTGCGCGCGCTTCTTCTCTTCCCGCGCGCGCACTAGTGGGAGTGAAAGGGGGGGCGACGAGTTAAGAGATCAGTGGCAATGAGCAACACAGTCTCTACGACGTTGTTAAATCTGCTCCGGTTCAAAGACACGGTCAGAACTTTCTATTAGGTCCGTCACGGAGGCACAGAACGGCAGTCCCGGGCAGCGGAGGCTGAGAGCGGGGAGCGAGATGGGCAGCGCGTCTTCGGCGTATCGGATGATTTACCTGGAGGTGGACGGACGCGTTCAGAAGGTACAAACAAAACCCTCGAGTGACGCTCAAACTCTCACTACTCGCATGTCTGTGTGTGTTTGGGGATAAATGTGGGGATTGAAGGACAACTGGGTTAGGAAAGTTCTTTCAGTATCTGGGAAATCATGTTTATAATATGTCCCCTTTAGGTAATACAAACATGACGATTGGGTACAAATTTGGTTAAATAAACCAAAATTACGTGTTTTATTTTCCATTATTATTTTACTTGAAATAGCTTTTGTTATTGTTGTTTTTATTACTTTATTGTTACTGTTATTGGCGTTAATTTTATAATTATATTAGTATACCTTTTAGTAGTAATAATGATAATAACAACAACAATTATAATAATATTTGTTTATGTTATTTAAGGTTATTTTTCCCTATTTTTCTTAAATGAGTAATAAATATACATACTCATATAGCTATTCACTGTATTTTGTATTTACAAATCTCAGTGCATTTACATTAGTTAAATATTTTGCCCAAATTGCCTTTTGTTTCACATAATATTTATATCCATCATAATAATAGCCATTGGATAAACAACATCGTAAGAAGCTAATTCAGTCCTTAAACTTGAAGAAGTCATAAACTTAAAACCCTAAAATAAAAATAATAATATTTAAATTACTAAAATAACTCAAATATTAATTAAACGACTAAAATGACTAAAAGCATGCATGGCTGATAACAAAAATAACAAAAGTGTTGTTTTACCATTATATGCAATTTATTAAATATATTACATTTCATTGAGTTGTTATTATTATTTTTACATTTATTTTAAGTTAGTTAATACAAATACTATACAAACATAGTGTGCACTATATGCACAGCATGGATACAAGTCAAGTGAAAAAATATAATAAGTATTTAATAATTTAAGATATTTTGAGCCTAATTATTGTATTTCTTAATTTATTAATACAATCTAATTATTTTAATATGATTTTATAAAACTTGGATTTAAAAATTCTCTTTCTAATTGCTACCTTCTGGTATCATGATCCTATCTGTTACATTAATGTGTTGAGGCCAGCTAAAATGTTTTTTATATGTTTTATTGTTTAAATTCTTAAAATTCTTCTTTTGGAATAACAAAATGACTACATGAGATTACTGATGTTACAAGACTGATTATCAGTTTTTACATTTGCTGTGCATCAGTTAATATTTTCACATAATAAACATGTAATATGACTTTGAACATCAAACCATTAGCATTTTTGAACTGTTCATTTTCTCTCCCACACCCTCTCAGTTAGTGTGTCCTGTTTGCCTTCATAAAACCTTTTATTAGTTTTTACACACCGAGTTCCTGATGCTTCACCACATTATAAAACTCCTCGAGTATCATGTTTGCTGGAGACTCTGCTCTTGACTCTGTTTTAAGTAAACAGTTTGATGCTCTTTAATAATGTTTCTAATTTAATATATCAGGCACGACTGGTACAGTATCAGTTTATTTACAGGTATCCAAGTGACAATCATTGGTGACTGTTGGATGTTTGTTGGTTACATTATATAAGTTGCATAATTCACTAGTATCACCAGTAAACTAGATTTACTAGTAGATTTACTAATAGTGAACTGATTCATTGGTATTCATTAGATTCACTAGTATTCATAGTGAACTGATTCATTGGTATTCAAAAGATTCACTAATATTCACTAGATTCAGTAGGATTACTAGTGAACTAGATTCACTAGTACCATTAGTGAACTATATTCACAAATGTTCACTAGAATAACTAGTGAACTGATTCATTGGTATTCAGTAGATTTGCCAGTATCACTAGTGAACTAGATTCACTAGTGTTCGCTAGATTCACTTGAATGACTAGAGAATTGATTCATTGGTATTCAGTAGATTTACTAGTATCACTAATGAACTGATTCAATGTTGTTCACTGGATTCACTATTTACTAGAATCACCATAGTGAGCTAGATTCACCAGTGTTCACTAGATTCACTCGAATAACTAGTGAACTGATTCATTGGTATTCAGTAGATTTACCAGTATCACTAGTGAACTAGATTCACTAGTGTTCGCTAGATTCACTTGAATGACTAGAGAATTGATTCATTGGTATTCAGTAGATTTACTAGTATCACTAATGAACTGATTCAATGTTGTTCACTGGATTCACTATTTACTAGAATCACCATAACTAGTGAGCTAGATTCACCAGTGTTCACTAGATTCACTCGAATAACTAGTGAACTGATTCATTGGTATTCAGTAGATTTACCAGTATCACTAGTGAACTAGATTCACTAGTGTTTGCTAGATTCACTTGAATGACTAGAGAATTGATTCATTGGTATTCAGTAGATTTACTAGTATCACTAATGAACTGATTCATTGTTGTTCACTGGATTCACTATTTACTAGAATCACCATAACTAGTGAGCTAGATTTACCAGTGTTCACTAGATTCACTCGAATAACTAGTGAACTGATTCATTGGTATTCAGTAGATTTACTAGTATCACTAGTGAACTGATTCATTGTTGTTCACTAGATTCAGTAGTATCACAAGTTAACTGATTTGCTAGTATTCACTAGATTCACTAGTATTCTCTAGATTCACTAGTATAGTGAATTGATTCATGTGTGTTTACTATTCACTAATATTATTCAAATCACAACTAAAATTAAAATCTCTTCCACAATCATCTGTACCCCTGTGAATAAAACTAGGTCCCCATAAATTTTACTTCCATAAACTATACACCTGATAGTATTCACAGTAAAGTTCATGGCTCGAAATTAACTTTTTTATTTGGTAGCACCGATGCTCCCAACTTTAAATATTTAGGAGCACCAGAAAAACTTTAGAGGCACCGGAAAAAAAATTAGGAGCACCCACCAAAAATAAATGAGCACCACTGCAAATTGTATTTTAAGTCATTTAATGTATTTGAAAGCATCATCAATTAGGACTAACAAAAACCAGAAACAACTATCTAACTAATGTTGTAATGACTTATTTGTGCAATATTTCCAAAATGAATATCTAATAATTAAAAAATATTAATGATGATGATGATGATGCCAATAATACTAACAATGAATTACATTTCTCATTATGATGCTGCCTTGAATGTGCTTGAGTGTGAGTTATCTGCTATGAAACATCTCCTACCTACATGAAGAATAAATTGATGGTTTGCATCAAACACGAATGAAGCATTGCAGCAAGAAATAATTATGTTGTACTATTGTTTTAATATGCATGTTAATTTAATGAATACTATTTCTGCTACAAAACAAACTAAAGATTATAATAAATCATTCAATTCAAGGCTGAAAGCTGCAAAGCAGTCATCAGTAACTAAATAGAAAAATAATATACATCTCATGAAAGAACGGACAAAAGAAAGAAGGAAAAGTCTCACTTTTAAAAGTTTTGGTTTCGGTTTGTGTCATTTTAATGCTCAGTCTCGTTATGCACTGATTTTACTTTTTCTGTGTTTGTCCAATATATGAGGAGGGAAGAGTAGGATTCTTGCGATGACCACAGGCGCAATACCGCTCTTTGTTATAAGCCGCATCAGTTTAAACTTAGTAAAGGCGAGCTTCTTTCAATTCAATTTAATTTTCAATTCAGCTCCCTGACAGCACAAAGTCAAAGTGATTGATAGCTAATATGAACCAATATAGCGGCAGGGAAAACCGATTCAGCAAAAAAAACAGATATAAAAAAAAAACAGGTCTACCCCAACCATTGTATGCAGTCGCATAAATGCTCCCAAATATATTATAAGGTTGAATAGCTTAATTTTCAGGCGCATATGCGACTAAAATGGTGGCAATTTTGAGCTCTGAAGTTGGACCATTTTTCACCATTGTCGATGGAATGAATAAATTAACAATTGTTTTCTGCAGAGTTTAAAAATATGGCCCACTTAAAGTGACAGCAGATTAATAAACTCACTACAGTTATTATTTCTAAATATTCCTGCTGTTGGACAAACATAATGTACTTTTGAGGTTTTTTCCATGCAAAATGTAGTTGTTTAGATTTTAACTATGCAGATTATTTTTTATTTAAAATATTTAAAATTTCTGAGACACAGCCATTAGCCTGTCATTAAGCAGAGCAAAGATAGTTGATGCTGTCCACCCACAAGATGGTGACAGAGACGGCATTAAAAGCCCTTAGAGAAGGAAAGATCAATGTATTTTCAAACTACAGCTGATTAAATCATTAAAAAATTGGTGAGTGACCTAAGTCAATTCTCTTTCTTTTGTATGTTGTAGTGCTGTATTTATACCATATAATTTTAGTGTATTGAGTGTGAGATGGGACTCACATATCAGGAATGTATGTGTTTTGTGTTGGCCACAACTTGTATAACAATTACTTGTTGGTTGGCCATCTAATCCTAATGAGTCTCCAGTTTTCGTTACTGCAGACTAGTTCAGTAAGAAGAAGAAATGGCCATGAGTGTTTAGCGTTTTTACTTATCGCAAACACAACAGTAATCTGGTAGTGGTTTGGCTTTTTCAGGGATAATTATTGTGAAATCTTGATTGCAACAGAGAAATACTGGGAAATCTCTGTAGGCTGATGGTATTTCATGACATTCAGCTGATAGTCTTATAATGTAAGCAAAATCAGCTGTTTTGTCATCACTTAAGACATTACGCTAAAGAATCATTCAAATATTAGCTTTAAAATGACTTTGGTAAGGTAGCCTCAAATATCAAACTTCAGTTGCAAATATGAGGGAATGGCGGAAGAAAGTAGTTCCTCATACAAAAGGATTTTTAGACTCTGCGTGTTTGATTTACTTATTTATACATACAAATTTGCCATCAAACTGTTGTATAAGGGTAATTCTTTTATGCCCTTTGATCATATATCCAAAAAATAAATAATTTTGTTAAAATATTTCTTTTTTTGTCAAACTAACTATAAAACCTACATTTAAAAAATGTACTAGCTTTCTATTATATTTTTTCATATTACCCAACCTCCTTTTA